CGGGTGTGGCACCGGCAGCGGCCAGCAGCACACACTCGGCGCCGTGTCCACCGCGCTCGCTGCGCGGCCCACGCCGCAACGCGGTTTCTCCACCCCCATGTCGAATCCCCGCTCTCTCCTCACTTCCTCAACGTCATCGTGAACCCTACCAAAATCATTTAACTTTTCAAAAGAAAAGATTATTGCTCCGCTGGCTCTGGGTACGTCCACCATTCCGCGGCCAGCGCCATCCTGTATGCCGCTCACTCCCTCTATAAACCCCCCGCCGCGCTCTCACTCGGCATCAGTCACCTTCAAACCCAATCCAGGAAGCAAAGCTACTCCCTCTCCCTCCCATGGCCAACAGCTGCGCGAGCCTTGACACCACCTGGTCCCACCTCCCCGCTCCCGCCCCGGCTCCCTGGCCATACGCCGCCTGGTTCTCCCCCGCCGCCGCCGCCTTTGAGAACGACGCGCTCGCCACCGCGCTCGCTCGCGCCTCCGCCTCGCCGTCCTCCCCGACCCCTTCCTCCTCCACGACCACCACCTCCTCCGCGTCCGAGCTGTCCTGCACCCCGTACGACGCGCCCGCGCTGCCCGCCGTAAGCTGCAGGCCAGCCTCGGCGGCGGCGGCGGCGCGGCACTGCACGGGCCGCGTCTCCAAGCGGAAGCCCCGGGTGTCCCGCCGCCCGCAGACCACGTACATCACCGCCGACCCGGCCAACTTCCGTCGCATGGTGCAGGAGATCACCGGCTACGCCCTTCCCGGCGCGGAGAGAGCCTCCGCCGTGCCAGCGCCGCCCCGGGCGGACCCGCTCGCTTTCGTGCTCCCGACGCTGGACACGTCCGCCTGCTTCTTGCTGGACCAGGGCCAGGCGCCCTCGCTGCCGCAGCAGCGTTGGGAGGACAAGACGTCGGGCGGAGCGGCGGCGGCGACAGCAATGCCCGCGATGGCGGACGACTCGTCGCTGCGGCTGATGCAGGAGCTGGAGGCCATGGTGAGCGCGCCGCCCGCCGTGTCCTCCTTCCCGACGTTGGAGAGCTGGGGGATGATCTGAAGTTCTCAAGGATTAGTCTTTTTTCCTTTTCTTATGCTACGTAGCGCTTTTAGTGTCTTGTCGGTCCTCCCGATGTGAGGATCAGATGGGCGGAGGTGGTAAATGATTCCTTTTTGTTGAGATCGTAGTAGTAGGAGTTCTGTAAAGTGGATTAGTGGCGGTCAATGATGATGTTAATCACTTGTAGTCTAATCCAAGTAGTAGTAGTACTGCATTACAATTTACAAAGTGTTGTGCTGGTGTTATGGTCTTAACCGTGCTCTGCCTTTCAGCTACGCACGTAACGTAGATGAGCAGAGATTTGGAGCGTTGCCATCGTGCGCTGCGACGTGAACGGTGGACGAGATTAGAAAGAACAAGAGTTAATTGCTTTTTTTTTGAAGAGTGGGCGACTCCTGCTGGTTGTTTCTGGCTATGCATCTACTCCTATTTTTCTATCTAATACATTGACATGTGGGACCCACATGCAGATGCAGGTATGGAGTGAAAAGTTACCAGCAGACGACGAAAAGTACCCGGAACACAAGTTGTAGAACCGATTTATGTACCCCGGGACATGTGGTTAGCAAATTCAAAATTCACGTAGAATGGATTTATGTCATTTTTTAAGTTTATGTATGAATATGTACATCTAGTGCAAGTTTATATATCAAAAGTGTAATTAACTCTTAGAACAAATAGCTGCATGGTTCTATGGCTGTTTTACAGTCGTAGGATGACGTATTAATGCTATTTGTAGTGTGGCTTTCCTTACCAGACAGACCGGGACACACCACTCTCTCTCT